CATGCACACACACACACCCCAATACAGCACACATGCACGCACACATACGGTATACTGTTACACTGTAGACTGTATCAAGTTTTCTGTGTGTGATTCACAGTATTTGTTATTTTGCTTTCTTTGATTTGTATATAGTTGTTTTGGTGGGGAGGTTCCTCCTATTGCCTTTCAGCTGGTTTGGAGAGTGCAAATCAGTGTCCAGTGTCCTGCCAAATTATAAATACTATTTATATCTTGAAAATATATCCTATTACATACAATTCCATATCCTGCTAAATGAATTAATAAGCAGTGACAGTTTTACTGGCCTTGCTCTTCTGTTTTTAGGAAGTTTGACATTTAAATAAATAAAATATGTGTACTGTATCAGCCATGAACAGTGTCCTGTGTGTCTTATTAATGTCACATAAACACAATTCATACAATTCATATTTATTCACTCTGGTGGAACAACAGGAGGGCAAAGGTTACAGAGGGCACAGCACACTTTCACCATCTTGTCCAGAGGTGTGAGGCCATCTGGGGTTGAGTAGCACAGTGTTATTGGTATAGTTCCTTGCAAAATGGTGTATTTATTCTGTACTAGGCCTATAACTCTCTCCACATGGATGCACACTGCTGCCAGTCCCGGCAATGACTCAACTTCAGCTGGGTGAAACTGCTGTTTTCCTTTAGTAAATGCCGGTATCTTGAGTCGAGCATTAACAAGACCCAAAGAGTCTGCCACATTAAACCCTCTGTCTGCAAGAACAACATCTCCAGGGGACAATAACTCAAGAAATCTGATCTCTGCTTGGCCACTTTATGATATTACACAACCTGATATTCATAACATTCAATGTGTTGTTGAAAACCCGACCAGCAGTTGACGTTGATACATGAAACACATGAGCTAAAAAGAAAAGTGGCAAGTTCATTCTCAGGCGCATTAATGTCAACAGAAACTGCTGAAAAGGAGACGAACAGGATTTCAGGAATGATGAGATAAAAGAGAAAACAACAATTAGTTTAACATATGAAGGCAGGCCAGTTCATTTATGTACTTCATCTTTGTCCTTCAAACTTTCTTGGTTGAAAGACAATGAATTTACTTGACCCTTCAGCTTCCAAATTTCTGTCTGTAATCTTATGCACTCCTCATTTAATCGTTTCATTGTGGCTTCACAAGAGACATTTCCCACAGGAACGTCCCAGAGCTAGGCCCACATCACTGCTAGTCTCCAATCCAGGTTCCTAACTCTCAATCTCCTGTCCCTCTTCTTCTCCATCCAACTCATGTCCGTCTTCTCTACCCAACACCTCTTCGTCTCCCCTGTCAATCTCCTGTCCATCTTCTTCATCTAACTCATGTCTGTCTTCTCTGTCAAACTCTTGCCTGTCTCTTTGTCCATCTCCACTCCCTCTCCTTCTTTCTCCTCTGTCCAAACTAACTACTCTTTTTCTTTTCAGTTCCTGTGTTTGTTTGAATCGTGTCATTTGATTAATCCTCTTCCTCTTGTTGGGGGAGCTGAGGTACGGAAATATTGTTGGTACAAAGTCAGGGCTCAGAGGGTTCTGGCTCTTCACACCTGGAAAGACAAAGATTTCAGGGTAGAATTTAGATTGTGAATAACTCTCAAAAGTCAACAACATGTAATGAAATTATGTCAAATGTGAACAATATGTTATTGGAAAGAAATCTACAATGTCAGTAAAATAAATAATACTAGTATGTGAAGTTAATAAGGACTGAAGAACTCATATGTGCTATGCTTTTGCAAAACAGTAACAACAAACAATGCTCCAGGCTGCAAACATTATAGTGTAAACAGATGAGCTAACCACTTGCTAATGTCACCAGTCTTAGGAGCACTTGAATAATATCTGTGAGATATGTGGTAAATAACGTTACAGGACGGAGAGCAGAGGGGAGGCTATGGCATTAACTCATTTACACTAAAACCATTAAAAGTACACACACACAAAAAGAGATGGTGGTGTAGCTCGCTAACAATATATTTACATCCACTCACCACAGACGAGTGTTTGCAATTGGTGTCCAGTCTGCTCTCTTGATGGCTGCAAGTCACTGATGGCGTCTTTTTTCGGCCTGAGGTAGTCTGTAAAAGGATATTTTGGGGTCTCCTTTTTTATTGTTGCACCCCACCGCACAACATATTGAAGGCATAGTTCCTTTACGATCTCGCCTAATCAGGTACTCAACATGGCGGCAGACAAGTTAGAATGTGAGTGAAGTCAGGTGAGGATACGTTTGTGACATCATCTGATATTCATGAATTGGCTGTGAATGGTAAAGTATGATTATTTCAGTGTCTTTATTTGTTATGCTTGTGTCAATACCCAAATAATTAGTTAATTCATGTTTATTGTGAATTACACAGATCATAAAAACCATCAGAAATATGTCAACATGAAGCAACGTCCAGAGTCAGTACAGCCAGGCGAAGGAACTGAGGTGGAGACAAGTATGTCTTTACAGCTGTATTAAAATGATTGTATTTTTAACAATTGTATGTAAATAGTTTCAGTTCTATCAATTAGGACGACATGGTGATGATCAGACAATCATGCAGGTTGTAAACAAACTTCCAGTTAGGTCAAACTCATGTGGGAGAGAACAACAGACATATTCATTGTTTGTGTAATGAGGAGATATTATCAGCATTACAGCTGCACTCGCTTTTTGTTTTACCTCCTACTAAAGTGGTAGCCAATCTGGTAAAATAGTGGCTTCTTTACGATCTCTCTGAACTCCCATTAAACCTATTTACAGTGAGGTCACCATGTTGCAGAATACAACCCCTCGCCTTACCCTCCCATTCCAAGAGTCTGGTAGAAACTACAGTGGCCACAAAAACTCACGGAAAATGTGAAAGGCCCAATCTACAGCCAGTGTTTGGTTTGTCGGTTCTGGGCTACCGTAGAAACATGGCTCTGTGGCAGAGAACCTGCTCTCTCTGTAGAAAAAAACATCTAATTTTGAGGTAACAAAAACTTCTTATTTTCAGGTGATTTACACGATTGAAAGCATACTTATGAATAATATATTCTATTTCTGCCAATAGATCCTTCTAAATGTCACACACTGGACCTTTAATACACATAAATCAGGGAATTGGTACCATTAACCTGCAGTCTTGAATCAAAAGCTCCTTTTTATAACTTTTCAGGGTCAGGCTCATTCGTATGGCAAAGACTCATGAACATTTCTCGTTCCAGAGCGCCTTTATGTCCTGTTTTAATATGAACTATTATTTTTAGGGTGGTGACGCAGAGGCACTGAACTACTAAATCACCAGATTTCTCTACAACGAAAATCAAGAAGAGGGGAAAAAAAGAGAGTAGTACCTACAGTGTCATATTTTGAAGCTGGGGGCCACTGATCAAGCGGCTGTGTATCCGTCTACATGGGGGCCCTTCAGAGACAACTGTGTGGACAGAGAAGCATGCTCCAGCCTTAACTTGTGTTTGCTAGTGTTGCTTTTTTAAATAAATAAGAATGGATGTTTGCCTGCATCTTGAATCATTACTCAAAATAAAAAATATCAAAAATCTTCCACTGTCATTTATTTGAAAATGTTGAAATTCTGTGTTAACATAAAAGTAGGCTGTGTTTGCTTCATATATATTTAGCAGGTGGGACTTATATTTATGTCAGCATAACACATAAGGCTGCATTAAATCAGTGTTTAACCTTGCATCATGTATGTATAGAATGCAGTTTTCTGTGATCAAAAGTGGAGTATGTTGCTTGACTGCTTGACTTCCTTCATTGCTTTGTAATGGTTGCCAAGATACTGTGTGTGTAGATTGTTGGTGTATAAATGCATACATTTCCTGTATAAGCAAAAGCCAGGTGCATATAGTCATATCCTTAAAAATAGAAAGTTTAGACAATGATTCACACTGTACATCAGGCAAGGAAAGCTCAAGACTCAAGTAAAGTGGTTAAACTAAAATTAGACTCTTGAATCTCTTCCTTCTTGCAGCCTAACCTCACTACATATCCTGCTGAAGCCCACAGTCAGGTCTCTTCTGAGTAAACAGTCTTGGAGCTTAGTCAAAGGCTGAGAAATGGCCAACCACAGATTTTGTCTGTCTGTTTAGCTTCTGCATGTGGCTCTAAATGTTCTAAAGAAACTAATGCAAATTTCCTTTCTAGTGTTTTGAGACAAGTAAGACAAAGCAGTCACCCCCAGTCAGTCTCTTCTAAAACTGTACTTGCAACAGATAACTGCATAAACCACTGTCAGTCCGTCTGTCTTCTAGCTATTCATTCCTCTGTCTTCCTTCCCCTCATAAAGTTTTTTAACCATTTTGACAACTATTTATCATTTCATCATTTAGACATAGGATGCTGTAGGAAGTTGGATGTTTTTGAAGAATGACTCATACAAAGCTAAACTAGTGGAGTCTCAGACTAAGAATATAGAGCTGGATTTATCCCCTCCCACTTTCTTCTGATAGGCCAACTTTACAGAAGGTACAGAGGGGCAGCAACAGCACTAGTGCTTGTGAGCACCATGCAGTACATCGGTACATATGTAACTTTCCTTCACAACTGAATTGTACTTGATCCGTGATCCAGCTTCCTCCAACAGTCCAAAGACATGACTGTGCAGGATTGGCTCCAGCACCCCACAACCCTGCAAAGAATAAGTGGTTATAGATGACGGATGGATAGTTTTAGCATGGGATACAAGCACGACACTGCCCCATCAGCCAGTTTGAAAACCCTTTATAACCACTGACAGAATGTTAATAAGTTCCTAGTACAGTAGTTTTGTATTAGGCACATCTCTGTAACAGACTCTTTCAGGAGAGTCTTGATTACTCATTGAGCTATTTGTCCTTTTCCTAGTGTTAGTTTTTATACCTTCTGTTCTTGATAAATAGTTGTGCTTAAACCGCATTAACATTATCGTCAATAGGGGATCACACACAGAGGAACTGAAACACAGCATAAAGTATGCTTCCTGAACTTAAATCACAATTAACTTTTGGGAGGAAGAGCGTTTCCTGTGTTTCAGCCAATCAGAACGATTTCCACTTTGTAGACTTTGATGATCTGTGACTGAATCTTCATTTGGGTGAGAATACATCAAGACAAGGGTGCTGTACCACAATGTCTGAACGACTGGCTGCTTTGATTCTTCTTAGTACAGTGTGTAAGTGCAACTTGAAACAATATGATTGTTTATATTGAACTGTGTTAAAATGTTGTTTAAAGGAAGTAAGAAAGTAGAAAAAGAAATGTAGTAATCTTTCTGATTGTAGAAACCTAACGATTTTTTAATTTTTTTCTTGTAAACATGTTTTTGTTTGTGTTTTTTTTCAGACTTGATTGAAACTGCAGAGGTTCGTCGGCCGAGCTCTGTGACTGTGGTTGAAGTAGGTGGGAATTATACTTTGCGATGTCCAGTCTCTCAGGAGGGCAAATTCTTTCAGTTCTATAAGCTGCCTCCTGGTTATATGATCCAAGTAGTTGCTACTGGATCTTATAACAACCGAAAACTTGATGCACAATTTAACAACTCACGTTTCAACATCACAGAGGAAAAGACTCATTATTTACTTACCATTAGAAATATCAGCAAAGAGGACGAAGCAACATACTTCTGTCAAACCGGAGCAGCATACACATCGAGTGTTGTTAATGCCGTCTTCTTGGCTGTGAATGGTAAAAATTGCAACTTCTTTTGTCTATGGCCTATGACAGTTAGCACTACATTTTATGTCTTACCAATAATTTCGGTTGTAAATTGCTTTTGACATATTTTTATTTTTATGTATGTTTAATATATATTACACAGATCGTAATCAGCAGAAATGTGTGATTGTGAAGCAACGTCCAGAGAGAGCATCAGTCCAGCCGGGACACTCAGTGACTCTCCAGTGTTCACTTCTCCCCAAGAAAAAAGAAACCAGAGACCAGTGTCCAGGTGAACACAGTGTGTACTGGTTCAGAGCTGGATCAGGACAATCTCATCCAGAAGTCATTTACACTCACAGGAACAGCAGTGATGAACAAGAGGAAAGAAGCTGTGTCTACAGTCTGTCCAAAACCATAACAGACTCCTCTGATACTGGGACTTACTACTGTGCTGTGGTCTCATGTGGAGAGATCCTGTTTGGTGAAGGAACTAAAGTGGAAACAAGTACGTTTTTAAAGTCTTTGAAGCTGAATTATGAACACATCTTTAACATGTCGTAACCATTAAAACTGGCTAGAATTTTAAAACATTACATTATTTAACAAAAGAGGTATTTAGATATATCATGGCAGCTCCAGCTCCTGGATGTCCTGATGTTATGTTAAAGATCGGTATTAGGGCCAGTCAAGGCCTTTGTTAACAGACGTCATCAGCTATATAGAACCCAATCGGTTGTCACGTAGCTGTTTTTGATACTTTCAAAAATGCAGTTTGAGTATAGAATGAGTATTAAAAATATATTTCTACTCTCTACATATTTATTCATGGATATTAAAGGGACATGATCATGTTCAGTGTCTCTTTTGACATTTTTCTTATTACAGGATCACAACTGGACCCAGTTACCATTGTTCTTGGAGTACTGTTGGCCTGCTGTGTGGTTGTGAATATCTTCCTTATTTTCTACGTAAATCGAAGGAGAGTTTGTAAACATTGCAAAGGTAGGTTCCTTTAATTGTACATGGATTATTTTCTGCATTGATTTATGCTCATGTTCAGTCTGAATTCATGACATCACATTGGTAAACACTAGCCTAAAAAAAGTTATAGTTATAGGTCTCAGTTGCAAGTTTATATGAGCAATTTAATTACTTTTTTTTGTTCTCCTCTATCCTCTTGTCTTCTTTGCTCTTGAAGTAGAAAATGATTACATTTTGCCTCAAGGAAATAAATTATGGATTTCTGATTAAATGTCACTTTGAGTCCTAGAATACAGAATAACTTAACTCCATAAAACAATGGGTTATTTTAAACATCCATTCATTCTTTGGGACAATATACATTTGTGCTACTTTACATCAACATCTGTCAAAAGTGGAAATACAATTTAAATATTTCTCTATAGAAAACTGTCATCAATACTTAACAAAAGTAAATTTCAATATACAGAGGTATCGTAAGTGAAAGATATATTGACAACAATAAAGAATCTGCTCTTGTTACCCATTAAAGAAACCCATTATGTCATATATACACCGATCAGCCATTACATGAGCACCATGGTGGTCATAATGTTCTGCAGCCCCATACCAACAAACTGCGACGCACTGTGTGTTCCTTGTGTTCTGACACCTTTCTATCAGAACCGCATTCATGCATCAATGAGCCCATGACCCTGTCTTCTGTTCATCGCTTTTCCTTCCTTGGACCACTTTTGATAGGTACTGACCACTGCAGACCGGGAACACCCCACAAGAGCTGCAGTCATCTAGCCATCACAATTTGGCTCTTGTCAAAGTCGCTCAAATCCTCATGCTGCCCATTTTTCCTGCTTCTAACACATCAACTTTGAGGACAAAATGTTAACTTGCTGCCTAATATATCCCACCCACTGTCAGGTGCCATGATAGCCAGATAATCAGTTTTATTCATTTCAACTGTCAGTGTTTATAATGTTATGGCTGATCGGTGTATAGTGTTACAATGTCAGATGTTAATATTAAATGTGACCAAAGTTTCAGATACTGAGGAAAATGTATATAAAACTAATCGCACTGAGCAAAGCAGCACGATTGCCAATGGCTTGGGTCTTCGTTGGTCACTGGTCTGGGCACTATACAGTTGCTGCCCGCTGCTAATACTTAGAATGGGTTAAGTGCAGAAAAAAATTTTAACAAAACATTTTTTTATTAAAAGCTCAGGTTTTAGACTGTTCTGAAAGCAGATACTGCATGCCCACAAAATAGTACAGGGACGAACAGGTGGATGGGCGCCATCTACCCGCTAAAGTTACTGACTACAAAGTTACATATTTTCCGGTTATCCCTCTAATGTCTACAGGCTTCTTTGCCACAATTCTCTGTGAATTACAGAATTTACTGATACTAAAAAACATACATATTGCTAAAGAACCTAAGGAATCTGCTTACTGCAAACAAATGTTAATGGACTGGGAGTTTGGTAGAGGAGCTTTGGACGCTGGGTGCTCCACAGGTATAAACATAACTTCAAATTCATCAAATTCAGTGCTCCACCTCACTTTTGTTCAACCGTCACAACTGCAACAGGACAACGCGGCCAGCCACTTGCTGTCCCTGTGCATGCTTCTGCAAAGTTAAGGGGTGAGGAGTGACTTAAAGAGACAGCTTGTCTCAGATAGAGGATTAACTGAGGGATTGCATAAAGGGCCAGTATAACATAAATAAGTATGTTTCTGAATTCTGAATCTTGCAGAGCTACTCCAGTGGAGTCCCAATTAAAAAATACACATATATGGACATTAGTATAATAGGTCCCCTTTAAATACTTTAAAGTTTTTGTAGTTAAACAATTACAATTAAATGTGCTCAAAATTACAATTATTAGTTCATCACAATTGTTTCATGTAAAACCATATTGTGAACACTAATAACTACAGTTTCATAGATTTTGAGAATTTGGTCTAACAAAAGAAAACAACCTTATATTCTGACATTTTCATTTGACAAATGAAAACACAAATCTGCATCACAAAGCTTTTACACTGATTACATTACAGTAAAATAACACATATACACTAGAGTTATTGTCATGCTGCAAAAGAAAAAATTAAATAAACAAAACTCAACTCTTAGAGATTGTAACAATTCAACCCCAAATAACATCACATAAAATTAATTTCAAAACTATATCATTGAACAACTGATTGTGGATTTCTTCAGTGTCCAACATTACAATGAGATACAGAAGAGTGAATGTAACTATAAATCATCTAACAGAAACTGTGAGGTCTTGTGAGGTCGTCACATTGATCTGCCAGCAGTTCCCAGTCTTTTCTCATTTTCTGAAGGTTTGGTTTTATCAGCCGGAGCAAAGACTGCCTCCCATAATCCCAGACATGACAGGACGACAGCGGATCAACTAACTGACATGGTAAATATATTTATATGTTTAATTTTTCCTTTTCAAAACCAAAACTATTTCAAAACCACAACAGCAAGACCAAAATGAGGTTTTTCTGTTTTTAAACAAACTGGAAAAGTTTTTTGTTTTGTTTGTGTGATATTTATGGAAAATCCATAGAAAGGGATCGGGACTGCACATGTTCAACAGAGATGAGAAGGAGGCGAGATGGCTCACTCGTTAACTATTTCCATCATCAGCTCTGGAAAGAACAGTGTGTTTAATTCAATTGTTATGTCTTCTGGATGTAGTCTAATGAGGTATATAGTATGAGTGTATATGGTGATTTATATATACATCACATCTATACTGTATGTGTGAGACATACAGTACATGGGCATATACATTATATTCTGTATGTAGTTTACATATTTTGTCTTATATCCGATTTATGTATGGAATTGTTCCCTATGTAGAACTAGTCTTTTTGACGCCCATGGCATCACTAACTTGTATTACCACAGTTGGCCAGGTCAGCACTGGTTCCTGGGGGCCTACACTAGACTAGAGCTGGGTGGGATGGAGCCTGCGAGAAGAAGCTGTCAAAAAAAATACAAATAAATAAATCTGATTTATTAAATAAAATAATTAAACTACATTCAGTATATAGTGTATATTTCCATGTATGTCTCACACATATATGCTTAAAGATGAGATGTACACATAAGTTACCATATATACCTCGTCAGACTGCATCCAGATAATGAAACTTCTGACACCTTTTGCGTTTTTTGCATGTTTCATGGGAACTGTAGTTTCTCCTTCACTCTTGAAAGAGGATGGAGATGCGAGGGAGTTCAACTATGTTACGATCATTACTCTTATCTGACTTAACTAAAGTTTTAGAACCATTCTTTAGTCCTGTGTTATTCAATAATTCATATTCGGGTAGTTTGTTTATATTGTTTCACATAGCTGACAGATTTTATTAAAAGTTAAATATTTTCTTCAGCCAGTTTATAAGGTTGTCAAACAACCCTGCATAAAAGAATATGCAACAGTTAACTCCCACCATTGCTACATACAGTGCTAGATGTGAACAAGAGTGATACTCAATAGCACATGATTAGATTCTGTACTCTTGACTTGGTTGTGATTGTTATTGACAGTCCTAATCTATAAAATATGAATTATTAAAGTCAATTATTATTTGTAGGATGGTGACGCAGAGGAAGTAAACTATGCAGCACTGGATTTCTCTACAAGAAGAGTGAGGAAAAAGAGAGGGTCACCACAAGAGTGTGTGTACTCTGCTGTGAACGCACACTACCACACACAGCACCACCCCTCTTTCTAGGCAGTTCATGAATAATCCAACCTGTCCAATTGTAAATCATGTTTAGCTTTCTTTGAATATACTTTGGTTTTACACAGTCCCTTCCTATAGTTCAAGCTCATCTTGATGAAGTTCACCTGAGTTTATTGCTAATAAAGTGACTTTCAAGCTATTCATTTTATTATTGTGCATTTTACTTCGAACTGCATTTGTATAAATGTTTGCATAAAACTCGTAGCTGTGTGTTGTGGGTGTGTATGACCAGAATCTTGCATGCCATATTCACACAGGACCTTGCACACACCTTGTGACGACTCTGTTATTGTTTGCTCTAACTGTGGTCCCATAATTTGCACAAAAAGGGATATTAAGTGGCTGCTCAGCACCTAGCAACTTTTGATACGGAACAGAGATCTTCCACACAGATAGAAAGTGGAGAAACGGGGCGGTTGTAGCTCAGACGTAGAGCGCCCACTAACCGGAAGGTTGGCGGTTCGATCCCCGGCTCCTGTAAATTGCATAGCCATCTCACTCACTAAATGATTGCTCCAGGTCTTTCAGACAAAATGGTTGGTATGAAAACAGCCATAGTCCTTTAGGCGCCACAAGACAGAAAAGAATGTGTTATATGTGTATGAGGGTCCGTACAAGACATAATTAATTCTGGCCCTCTCACACACATACATTCTACTTTCACATACATATATATTTACTCTCACATCATCTTATTTTCATTCTTACACTCACTGATTTTTATTCCAATATTTATATATTTTAAGTCAAACATTCATATATTTTCACTCACACATAATTCATTTCTGTTTTAAAAGAGCAGCAAGAGAAGATCAAAATAACACTGAACAAAATTATAAACGCAACACTTTTGTTTTTGCCCCCATTCATCATGAGCTGAACTCAAAGATCTAAGACTTTCTCTATGTACACAAAAGGCCTACTTCTCTCAAATATTGTTCACAAATCTGTCAAAATCTGTGTTAGTGAGCACTTCTCCTTTGCCAAGATAATCCATCCACCTCAAAGGTGTGGCATATCAAGATGAAGTTTGGTAGCCCTGTCAGAGAGGATGAGACAGAGAGGAGAGAGATCCAGCTGCAGTCAGGTGACAGAGAGAGTGATGCGGGAGGGGCCTGCTGCCCCGCAACGGAGGGACAGAGTCAGTCTACCGGTGATAGAGAAGAGAGAGAGAGAGAGAGAGAGAAAGAGAGTCACAATTGAGCGGGAGGGCCCCGCTACCCAGGGACGGACTGGGACTAAAAAACGGCCCTGGACTTTGACTAGGCCCGGCCCAAAGTAATCGGCGCGCGGAAACTCAACAACAACAACAACAATAATGCCTGGCATGAGTGTCACAATACTTTAATTGTGGCTCATGATACTATACCATCCAAATTATAGCAATAGCACTGATGATGACTAGATGTTGTGTTAAGAGCATAGTATTCTAGTTTAACTTGAATACTCACATAGAAATGAAGGTATCATCACACTGCAGTCCCTCTGGCTGAACCAATACAAAACAGGTATCTGAAACACACCACACATAGTACTGTATGAGTTATGATAAATCACAATGTAAAGAGGCTGTAAATATACAGTTTAACTGGAATACTCACATAGAAATGAAGGTTGAATACTTACCTAAAAAAACAAACCAGCAATGGCATTTTACTCAATGTTGGGGGATAAGGAGTTTCTTCAACAAGTGGCTTTTTGCACAGCTGTCTGGCTCACTTCTTCACTCAATTGGATGCTGCTAATATTAAACTGAACTTGTGCTCCAGTGGTGGTGCTGCTGGCTGTGCTGCTGAACATTTCAGTTAGTTTGCGACCATTAGCGGCTTCACTCTCTAAATGTCAAATTTTTTTCCCCTCGCCTTCTCAGCCCCACCCTTTTCTTTTCGTTTTTTACTGGCATTATCCATATTGTTTCTATGGTCTTGAACATCTTTGCTGCTGCTACTACTTCTTCTTCTTCTTCCACTTCTTCTTATTCTCCTTAATTGGCGGGCACGGTCGGGGCAGCTAGCATCCAACTTAAAGGTGCATTGCTGCCACCTACTGTACTGAAGTGTGAAACAGTAGATTAGCAGGGGGAAAAAAACAGGTGATGACTGCGTGGCGGGTGGTGGGCCGCCGGCCGTCCTGGAGTACCGGCCGTTCTGTGATTCTCCAGATCACACAGATGGCCAGTCCACCCCTGCCGCTGCCCCGTCCGAGAGTCTGAGCAGGATGGATCAGAGACTGATCACTGATAGAGTGAACCTCGTACATGTGATGGCAAAACCAACGCCTTTCTCAGAGAGGGCAAAGGAATTGCCAGCAGATGCAGAGGGCAGGGAATTCCCAAACTATTTGACATATTCCACATCCCACAATGGAAGGGAAAAAATCGATAGGGACTGGATAGTATATAGCAGCTCAAAAAAGGCCTTATTTTGCCTACCATGCTTGCTGTTCTCCTTTGAAGTAGAGAAAAAGTCAACTAGTGCACTAAATTCCACAGATGGGATGAAAATATCGAATATAAGATACAGAAAGCTTTATGAGAGATTTCCAGAACATGACAGAAATCGTGCACACAAACATTGTTATCGGAAATGGAAGAACCTACAACATTCTGTCCTACAGACTTCTGGAATTGACAGCCAACAACAAAAATTGATGGAGACAGAAATAAAAAAAACAAAGCACAACTGAAGTAGCTGCTGAGGAGAGGAACAGGAGTGGATGGGAAAAGGAGAGATCTGGGCACGGGGGGGCCCATCATAGATTATTTCGTCCCGGGCCCAGGCAAGACTGTCAGCTGGCCTGTTTTCAACAACTTACGAATATCCATGATGAACTAGAAATGAAATAGTAAACCGGCAAAAACTCATCCAGCTTAATTTTCAAAAATGCGTGGTAACTGTTGAGCGGCTACATACGTCACGTACGTAGCCAAACTTTCTTTTCAGTAAGGCCGTGATAGGCTGTTGCAGTGTAGATTCCCATAAATCAAAAAAAATCACACCATTGTTTCTTTATATTTTTAATGTTTTAATGATAAAGAATGCAACATTAGTATTTCTCAACGCAATATTAGCTACTATGATAATATAAAATTAAAATTAAAGTAATTTTTTTGTAAAGGAGCATTTCACCCATGGAAACATAAATATTTGTTGAAAGTGGGTTATATATGTAGTCGAACTGTAACATTACATTTTGAATTTGGTGCCTATTTGACCGAGAAAAGACAGAAAGTGACTTTAGGGCGCATTTGTATTAAAGACAACAACTCCCACAATGCACAGCTCCGCAGGCCGCTCCCACTAACACTATCAAGGACTACAACAACATGAATGTAAACCATTTATTTACAGAAATATATCAACAACAACAACAAAAATAAATATGTTAACAATGACAGTTATAGTTCCTCCTGAGCGTCCTCAACTCCTTGGTGCCGCAGTACTGGCCATCTGGAGCTGGATATTTCTGTCGGATAGCCTGCACCACATAAGCGGGTAAAACGACATGATGGCCTCGACCCAATCTCTCGTCTTGCAGGACCCATTCCAGAAAGGCTGTTAGGCGATATTGTCTGCAAGACATTGAGCACACAGTTAGAGATGCATGGTCTTTGTGTTTAGCGTGCCACAGTAGTTAGCAATGCAACTGCAAGCTGTTTGTGCAGTAAAGAAGTTAGTTCAGTTGGCTGACATTACGTATTAACCGGGAATAATGCTTGAACAAATTGTGTACATACATGCCACGTTGTTATAAAACAGAAAATAGAAACACTCACTTTACAGTCAGACGTCCGTGTGTCCGTAGGCGCACAGCGAGAGCACAGGCACCAGCAGTCCGCCCCAGCTCGAGCCAGTCCGGGTTCCTCGTCCGCGACAGGCAGGTCCTCTGCCTCGGCTGCAGAAGCCTCAGCCGCTGCTCGCTATATTGCGGCTCATAAAGGTAGCCACGAACATCTGATTTGACCATCATACTTTCGAAATTTCTTCCATATTAGATTGATTACCATAATCGTAACGTCTGGCTCGTCAGGGCCTCCACTTAGCTTCCAAACAAGATGGCGGTTATATTTTTTATTTTCTGCAGGTCAAGTCCCACCCACTGATCTGTAAGAGGTCTGCAGCATGAGTGAAAAAAAATGAGGAAGTAGTGTTTGTAGTCTCACCTCCTCTACAGAGATATGAGACTTCCTGCTTCCAATGACGCAAAATGACGATTTTTACATCATTGGAAGCAGGAAGTGCAACACTAAAATCCTTATTTCTCCCCTCTCAGGGGAAGTGAGGGAATGATACACGACCATTCAAAAATATGACTGGGGTTCTAATGATACAAAGCTTAATGCAAATGGGGGAAGTGTCCCTTTAAGAGATCTGCGCCTCAATTGGGGGGGGGGCACAAGCATTTTTGGGGGCGGGCCACCGCCCATAGCGAAGGTGTGCCTACATACCTACTGAATACAAACCCATTTTGAATGATCTGGAAAATATTGCTAATAAAATGTACAGTATATCAAACCAGTATATTTCATTTGATGGATATCTCTTCCTCCTATGTTCCTCCTATGTTACTCTTCTTTTGGCACTTATGAGCAGTTGCCATGTAGCTCAAGGTGCATACTGTCATTAATTCAGTTTATCTCGATGTATGACAACGTAAAATATTGATTTTATTAACTCTATTGTCCTGTGAACATGCACATCTTGCTTAACTACCATTTGCCAACAAACATACTCAGCTAAAAAGTAAGTCTCAAAAACCTGGAACTGGAGATAAGGTTAGTTCCTGTCAGTCTTTGCTTACCTGGTCTGTTGTTTTCATCGAATGGCTCCGGTGTTCCCTTGCCTGAGAGAGAGACAGAGATGGTGACTGCTAGCAGCCTAAGTTTAAACAAAGTAACGTTACTGTGATGTTACGTGCAGGAATGGCAAGTCAAAATTCACATATAGGCCTACTGTGGGTCATGGACCGGATAATTTGGACACGCAATAACAACAAATGTAGACCATAACCCCAGTTAATGTCTCACATCACATCTGTTGTAACGTTAATTATGTTAGGTTTAACGCTACATGACAGGATGTTGTATGACTTTGCTAGCGTTAAGAAAGTTGAAAATATTCTCTCATGTAGCATCAAATAACGTAACCA